CTGGAGGCCCCCGCAATCAGGGAGAAGCAGCCACATAAACAGGCACTGTATAGGGCCGTCCGCAGGGGGCCTCTAGAGGACCCACTTCAGGAACAAGCGGTGGCCGATTAGAGAGCCAGGACTGATGCGAGCACGCTGACTGGGAGCTGCGGTGATGGCAGAAATACTGGGAGCTGCGGTGATGGCACTTTCAGTTTGCCCCTTATTATATGCATACAGAGCGTGCCGGTTACTATTTAAAACGGCGCGCTGTGTGCAGCTTTTGAGAAGATACGCTATTAGTGTAGCGGGAGCGATGCAAAATGCGCAGCAGGCTTCCCCGTTTTTAGCGTTTTAAATAGTAACCGGCACGCTCTGTATGCATATAATGACAGCCTGAGAGACGGGAGTCTGCGCTTGTTGGTCGTTCCTGGGATCAGGTGAGTATTAAAGGGTTATTAAACCCTCCGGCTTTTTTGCATATATAAGGCTAGCAAGCAGTAGGCTAGCAAAAAGTTAGAAAAAAAAACGCTTTAACAGCGATTTAAAGTTACCCCGTCTTTGCCGCGCGCTCCCGTCCGAAAATCTGAAACTGCTCAGGCGGCCGCAAAGCATCTTGGGGCGGGCGCATGCGCATTTCGGATTTTCGTCCGCGGGACGAGGAGAGACACAAGGTAAGTCAGATGAAAACCTCAGGAAAGAAGATCGGATTAAGAGACATCAGTTAAGGTAAGTGCTGACATTTACATTGGGGGGAGGGGGAAACAATTGACTTTAATGTCACTTTAACCACTTCCGGGCCACAGTACGTCTATAGACCGCAGCCTGCCTGCAGAAGTGGTTAAAACAAGAACACGTCTGCTTTGGCAGCCGTTCTCTTGTTACTGCTTTTAACAGCAGGCGATTGCTGTGTAACTTACAATCGATCTGGTGTCTGAACAGCCTCTGGATCGTTTGTACCGTGTGGTGCCCCCCCCCGCATCGGCCACTGGGTCTCCCCGCAATGATCAGAGAGAGATTCAAAGACCCCTGATGCCTCCATAAAGAGGACCTGTCACACTCTATCTGCTATTACACAGGGTGCTTGTTAGTCCCCTATATAATACCAAAAGGGTTAGTGTACAAAAAAAAGTGTTTAAAAATTAAAGTAATGTTTAAGTCCCCCGCCCCCCAGATACACACGCGTCGGAGCGCCTACGTGCGGAAAACGACAATTGTGCTGCACATGTTACATGTCGCCTCGAACGTCGCAGTGAGAGCAATAATGAAATTTTTCTGCCGATACAGCAACGCATCCCTGCTTTCTTTCCTCCCCGCTGGGCGCTGCTCTGTGTCCCAGCGGGGAGGATAGAAAGTGAAAACTGGCCGAGCGCTGCAGGAGGAGAGCGCTGTGTTTGTGGTTTGCACCAGGGCCCTTTGTTCCTTAGGTCCGCCACTGGTTTTTGGATGTCTACACAAGGGATCAAATACTTGAAATGCATCTATAATGGTATATGGGAAGATTTTTATTTATATGAATGGTCTGGTGACAGACTCTCTTGACAGGAGACCTGGGAGGAGGGTATATAATTTTTGCACCTTTGAACATGCTAGTTTCCCGGCTGCCATGCTAACCTAGTGCTATTACTTTCTGACACTGACAATACACATCAAGTCTCAGCTGTAAGTCAGCACAGGCCACCACCTCTGCAGATGCAGAATGCACCACAGAGGGGACCAGAAGCTGCAACCTAAAGAAGCCTGTCAAGGCCAACGGCTGCTTACCACCATGAGGCTCATGGATCTTCTGCCAAAGTAAACAGGTCCTCGTTCTTTGTCAGCGGTTAATCGCACAGCGTGACATACAGATGGCCGTTGGAGGAAAAATGTACTGCACTGCATGGAGATAGTTCTTAAACTTTATAATCCGAGGACCCAAATAAATGTCTTACCGTACTGGGACTCAGAAGGAGAATTATTACCAAAATGTCAACCTAATTCCCTTTGCCCCCCCCACATTGTATATACCTTAGTCCCCCATAAGTGAACTGTACTGTCAAGTTTATTCATTTTGCAGGTTGTAAGAGGGGTGGTGGTGGTGTCATGGCAGGAATATTTGTTACATTCTAATCCCATAGAAATGAATGCAATGTAAGGCTACACATAAGAGCGCAGCAGTAAATGGTTTGAAACAAAGATAAAGTGCTCTGTATCACTTGTCACTGGTTTTGCACTTGAACAAGCTACGTTTACTACACAGCCATGAGGTGACCCATCATAGACAAGTCACCGATCCAATGTGGGTCCCAAACCATACTGCCCTATTGTAAGCGATTTGAAAGCCGCTGAAAAGATTGATGCAAACATTACAATCAGGGCCGGATTTCCCACAAGGCCACCAAGGCCCGGCCTTGGGGCAGCAGCGAGTAGAGGGGCAGCAGAAGTGTAGAATTCCTATCGCC